AAACTCAATGGCCTTACCTTATTTTCTGTGATGAACATGTATAAACAAAAAAAAATATTTGAGCACACATGCTACTATACCCCACACATTTACATCCTTCGTATGGTCTTCGGGTCAGATTGACCCGCATACACAGAGACACACAAAAACATGCCCACAAGACACACAGACAAACAGAAACATGCCGACAGACACACACAGTCACAAACACACACACACGCATGCTTGTATGCGCACGCACACGCACGCACACGCACGCACACACACACACGCACACACACACACACACACACACACATAATGTTGCATTATTATAATCTAAGCAGTGAGAAGCTGTTTGCTCTCACTTTCCCGCACTCTTTCCCACTCTTTCCCGCACCCTCTTTCATGTGTCCACCTGTAAACCCCTTTTTTTCGAATGATTGTCCATAACATTTGATACATCAAAAAAATTTCTCGCACTATATTCCTCGCACCTGCCCATCAAGGGGGGGACAAAAAAGATAAATACCACTGCATCACAGTAGAGATTCTTCCACCCTCAGTATGACAAAAAGATTTAGCTGTCAGAGAGCTTTGGAGCTCTAGGTTGCAGCCGGTGTCAAGAAGAAGCGCTGCGAGGTGTGTGGACCATCAAATGACACAAAGACACAAACCACATGCAGAAACTGCAAAAAGTACATCTGTGGTACACATACTGTCAAATTTTGTGATGCATGTGTTTTGTAAACAGGCATGCCTGTCATTTTTCAAAAGCATCAACCCTGTTGCAAGTATTTCATAAGATAAAAGTTATTGATTGTTGAAGTTCCAGTTTATGTATTGAGAGTTTGCATTCAAAGTAATAAATGTTAATGAAAACATTGTCCCACTTAATCTTTTCCAAGATAAGCATGATCACATAGTGGATTTTTAACATGAATTATAACCTTATGACAAAAAAACGAATAACACTTCCATTGTTAATTGTGTTCCAGGAGAGACTGATTGCATTCCCTAAACATATATGTTATCTCAATTGTTTGAAATGTAGATAAAGACAATATTTTTAAATAGATTATCAAGTAAAATTTTATTTCACAATGGTTTTTAAAGCCCCATATATGTCACGGGTCAATTTGACCCGAGGGATACCAGAGGGTCCCAAAAGTGAAGACAATACAAGGGTTCTGCAATGATCCTTTTACAGTCCATACCTCAACCAGAACCTCAAATTGGACATGACATGATATTTTTTTTCCTGTAATGGTTATGTGTAATTTAGCTTCACGCCAATCATATCTCATAATAATATTAAATGAACTGAGGTTACGTTTTCTCTTGAGAGTCCTCCTCCTGAACAAGAGTACATGAGTGACATCTCTTCTGACTGGTGAAATTTCCTGAGGCATGACGACAGGAAAGAATTTTGGTGTCTTGTATACTTGGTGCTACAACAGTCAGGAAGATATATCTCATAGAGAACACACTGTAGTTTGGGAAGCATGCATAATTTTTAAGCAGAATATGAAATCACAACAGGATATCTATGTTAAGCAAATATACTCAATAGATGCAAATAGGCATCATTATGAATGACATTGTTTGTTTCCTCTCAGTATTTTATCTGTATATTACCATAATGGAAAAGACATTGCAACTTGAACAAAATAACATGAGAAATCTCTGGTCAGGAAAAAAAAGGGAAAAAGGATCACAGACTTTCAGTTGAAAGAGGACCAAAGTGATGGAATTTTAAACAGAGCCAAATGACCCTAAAATGTCCTTGACTAACTTAAATTTGGATCAAAATTCAGCCTGCTTGTCTCTGCCTCCAGACATAGAAAGACTCACTGTAGAAGCATATATAAGTGATCCAAAAAGCAATAGGTATTAAAAGTCAAACTGTAACTGGATTTCTTTTGATGCCTTCAGGTGGGACAATTATATACCCTAAAGAAAACAAATCCTTCTATTTTCTCAATCCCTTGTGCTGTTGGGTTGCTTTACACTTAGTGCCTTTCTGTGTTGAATTAGCATATTTATTTTTTTAATTGGGGACTCTACACTGACCCTGTGAGTAGTTGGACACATGCATGTTTCTTTCCTTCTGGGTGGCCCCAGGCGGAGGCACGGTGGTGTGGTGGTTAGCACCATCGCCTCACAGCAAGAGGGTTCTAGGTTCAAGTCCCCAGGAGGGAACCAGGACCTTTCTGTGTGGAGTTTGCAAGTTCTCCCTGTATCTGTGTGGCTTCTTTCCGGGTTCTCTGGCTTCCTCCCACTGTCCAAAAACCTGCATGTTAGGTCGATTGGACGTTCGAAATTGCCCTTGGGAGTGAGTGTGTGTGGTTGTGTGTCTATATTGGTGGCCCTGCAATGGACTGCTGGACAGTCCAGGGTGTGCCCATTAAATACTGGGATGGGCTCCAGCCCCCCCGCAACCCCATGCGGGAATAAGCGGTTCGGAAAATGGATGGATGAATGGATGGTGGCAGCTGGGATAGGCCTCCATTGGCCTGCAAACCTGAACTGGATTGAGCAGGTATTGAAGACGGTTTCATCTCTGTCAATTAAATCCCTCAAACTCAATAATAATTTAGATGAATGTATATGTATGTATACATAGACAAACACTCATATGTGCTCACATTTACCTCTCATCGAGGTAAATCCTCAGCATCTTCCAGTTGAGCCGTCTGGTGTAGAAAATGAACTTAGCCAGCTCTGTTGGATGATCCACCAGTATGCCTTTAGACCTGAAATAAATAATACCCTACATGCACACAGACACAGACACACAAAGGAAAGGAGATAAATACAAATAATAATACAGTATTTGCAATGCATCTAGGAGCTGAATGGTCAGGTGATGGTTAACACAGCTGCTTCACAGCAAGAGGGTTCTTAGTTTAAATGAATTCCGTTAAATAATATGTTATAAATCCCCAATGAAAAATAATATGTTTAGAGTATTAACTGTTTTCAAAGATATGTTTTTCTTGCAGAAGATAGCTAAATAAAATTAAGATAAGATGTACACTCACGCTCTTTTGTTAAGTGTACTTACTCAAATAATACATTTACATATTAACCATACTTTTGATAAAAGAGTGGTGATGGCACATTTTGGCCAAGATGGATTGAACTAGAGTTCAGTTCTGAATTAATCTGCACAGAAAGAGGACACAGAAATAGGACATTTGTTCATCTTTTACCTCTTGAGGGTTAGCATTAAATGT